GCAGGTCAATACTTGAAAATGTATAAAGCTGTCTAGGGTGAAGGAGAAAGGAGAAGTGTGTGGACGCTTTGTTAAAATTGACAGTATTCTGCAAAGAAGCTCGCAAAGGGTAAGAGGAGCAGGGCTCGCTCGCACGAAAGAGAGAGAAATGACACGGTTGGGCTGATGCTCGTCCGAAATCCGAGGAATCGAGGTTACGCACAACAAGCGTCGCTCTTTCGCGCTAGCCGTGGCGTCGTCGTCCTAATTAGCATCATCTTCCACAGAGATTTACAGTGCAGCGGTATTACAGCTCGGCGCGAAACGTCCAATTAAGGTGCGACAGGCTATGCGACACTGTGTATATAGGAACTTGTCGAGCAAACAGTCCCCCCCTCCCCCGTCTCTTTCACTCTCTCCCTCTTCGTACATATAATACGAGCGAGGGAGCACGGGCATAAAGTTTTAATTGTCTTCCCCAATTGACGCGATAGAGATAGGCGGTGGGATCGTAACTTCGCCACACGTAATTGTCGAATTTTCGACGGTATTTCCCGGGCTCGGCTCTGCGCCGCGCGAGTCGCGGCGCAAATTTCGAGCCTTTTGCATACATTAGCATTCGACTTCGACTGCGGAGCGCGCACCCGCGCGCGAGATGTCTTTTGCGGCGCCGAGCACTTGCCAAGCTTTATTTGATTACGCGGATCATTTTGTAATGGGTATTTGCTCGGCGGAATTTCCCGAGAGCTTTTCCTTTTCCTTCGTCTGCGATGCTCTCTGCGCGCGCGCAACCGACGACCTCGATAACGAAAAATATCGTCCGATGGCTCTCCGGAAGAAGGCATAAATCGGCACGGGCTTCTTTGACTTTCCGTCCGTTACCGAAAGCCCGTCAAATTCCGAAGCTTCACCAGTATCGCATTACCATCCTATCTTGCGCCGGATAAAGGAAGGAGAACTATAATACTATAATTCTCGCAGGCTCTCTCTCTCCCATTCCATTGCACCATAACCCTCGGCGAGAGAGAGGGAGGCAGATACGATAAAACACGAGGCTCTTACCGTCCTACATTATTTAAGAACAGCATAGAAGCGGCGGCGCGGGGCCTCTCGCGAACTTCCGCAGCGCGAGATCATTTTCCGGCAGAATGGCTGCCGATAAAATTTCGGCAAAATCGCCTACTACACATACACCTCGTCGTCGGCGTTCCATGTATCACTGCACGCGCACTCCAGCCCTAAATATCGCTAGCTCTGCGTCACTTTTTCAAGCGGCGGATACGTCGTTTTCATAAAGCTGCCGTCTGGCGAATTACAGCTCGGCCGTTCGGCTTTACGATCCATCGTATCATCGAACTATGTACACCCTTGCACCGCCCCCCCCCTCTCTCTCTCTCTCTCTCTCTCCGTCGTCTAATTAGGCAAACGTCAAAGGCGGCAAAGTTGTCGAGTGCGCGACGAACGACGGAGCGCGCGAGAGAGAGAGAGAGATGGCAGAGGGTCGACGGCGCATATTCGCGACAAAGCGCATTCTCCTTTCTCTTTGTCACGGCCGTCCCGCGGCCCCGCGCCTCGCCTCGTCGCACCTATATACAGTCGAGTGCTTCTTCGCATGTCGCGCGTATCGCTGCGCCGCGTGTATACGGTATACCTATGTACGCGCAATCAGCCGACGCGATCGAGCCCGCACCGGATCCCCGAGATTCCGTGCAGGAAATGTACCTAACGTCGTTTTACCTTTGTGCCTTCCCCGGATAACGAGCTGATGCAACTATGCACGCACACGCGCCTTGTATGTTCTTCTGCTTGCTTTCTCGCGACCCTCCATTAAAAGCGCGTTACTGTTACGTACGCACGGGCTTTTGCTATAGTGGGCTCGTCCATTCTCCGCGGACTCCTTTTCCTTCTCGTTTCTTGAGATATCTCCTACCTTTTTTTGTCATATCCTGCGACACGCTTTATTTTTCATAGTGAATGCAGCCGGTGGAGTCGCGCAGGCTTCTGAATAATTAGTGTGTCGCGCGGTTCGACGGCACGGTTCAACGCTATTGGGGTTCGCACAGTCGGCGGCGACCCTCCACTTCCACGAGGCTTTTTATTCGCGTTTGCCCGCTAGAATTTTTCATAAAGTGTTTTCTCTTTAAATACTTCTTCTCGATATCAAACGCGAAGTAAGTGGATAGTGGAAACAGCTTGAATAATGCAGATTTTTATTGACTCTTAATAAATGCAACGACCGAGTGCAATGAAATAGAATTGGAAATTTCTTATTCAAAAGTAAATTCGTTTTATATCGACGGTTGAGATGTCTATCATTAAAAATAACTAATCGTCTATGTGATTAAACTGTACGTATAAGGAATGAAAACGCTCGCAGTAATAGTGAAATAATGTTCATTTTGCAGAGACACGCGCATTTGGTTATCGACGCCACAGGGCGAAATTCTTAATCAGATGGAAACCATAATTTCTCGCGTTCATAACAACATTTTTTTGCTGAGAATAAATTAGAAAAAAGATTGCTCCTCACTCCTAAAACTATTGATTTCGTTATTATAAATACTGTAATAAAAGAAAAAAAAAAGTACGATTTCTGGTTCAACAAAAAAATCCTCGACATTCTTTTCCCAGTCTTCAATGTAAAAGTCTCTCTCCGAGTAAAAGATTAAAGAGGCTCGAGATTGAGCCGTCGCTCTTCCTTTCTTTGACAAAGCGACTTCGCATTGAAACCCACGTCTTGCAAGACAAATAGAATATCCCAACAATTGTTTTACCTCGTAAACACAAATTCACAAAATAATCCTTGGCTCTGTCTCCGTCTCGAAAACGGGCGGGTTCTCATTAAGCTTCGCTATGTAGTCAATGAGTCGGGCGCTAGGTTTCGTCTAACGAACAGGGTTAAAGGAAGAAGAGCTCACCAAAAAGGTAAAGTCCAGCGGTCACGTAGTATCGTCTCGGAGCACGCAGAAGTATAAGCGACGGCAGCTGCGACAAAAAGCTCGAAAGAGAGGGAGGTAGAGAGAGAGAGAGAGAGAGAGAGAGAGAGAGAGCGACTGAAAGCTTGGAAAGGCGATACGCCGTCACGGTGACAAATTATATGTCATCTCTCGCGAATCGATTGGACGGACTCGTGTGCTCTCTTTCTACGGCATGCGGATCACGAGCGGTTTTGAAGCGGTCCTTCGCTATTTACCATTCCATTCGCCGCTCTCTTACCCTCTTCCGACCCCCCCCCCCCTCCCCGGCACGCTGTGATTGATAAGGGGGCCAAGGATCACCTTCGTTGGAAAACAAAGTGACCGCGCGCATTTGCATCTTTCGACTGCGCTTATGATTTGCACGTCTAAAGTGGGAGCCGCTTGGATTTGCGAGCGCTGCCGCGCGGCTTATCTTGAAATTGCGTGAGAAACGCGTATTACGCTTCTTTCGTTTCCCCTGGAAATATATTATATCTCGCTTCTAATGGCTTTATCTTTATTGTCGGTTTATACCGTTCGCTTTTTCTTCCCTTCACTTCCCTTCCCTTCATTTCCGTCCCCTGATGTATTTCTCGCGGAATTAATGCTTTGAAATAGCGATAGCTGTGCGTCGAAAGAGAGAGAGAGAAAACTGCCGCAGTATTAAGCTGTTAATGCCCCTCGTCAAAGAGTATTCCAATGCATCAACGTGCATTTTTGTACTGCAATGTAGCGCGAGATCGAAGGGGGAATGTTGCCTGGAGGAAAAATTTCTTTGCGAAATGGAAAAAAAAATTGATGAATGGAAGTAACATTTTTTATTTTTGTTCGTTGCGCGGAAAATAAAAGCTCTGCGAGCTAGACTTTGGTTTTTTGGAAGTTGGCGGTGATAAAATTTTACGCAGTACGTGAAATAAAGTGCATTTGATGTTTGGCAAAAGAGGAGCAGTAAAACATTTTTCATTCTTTCGCGCAGACAATTTTCGGCAGTGTTTTGACATTTTGACAAAGTGAATTTGCTCGCAAGCGACTGCGAGGTATACTCAGTGAAAAGAATTCATCCAATTCGAGGCTTCGATAAATTTTAATCTCTCAGTGGCTTTTGAAATTGAACAATAGCCCCGCAAGTTTATCTGAGCGCAGCCAGAACGGGAGAGAGTTAGGGAGCGACAAGCTTATAAAAAGCTCATCGAAGCAGCAGTAGGAAGACAAGAAACAGCTAAGCCGGCGCCGCCACCGCGCGGCAAGCTCGCCCTCCGCGATTAGCACCAAATCCCGAGTCTGCTTGGCATTCGTAAATTCAGTGAGCTTGCAGAGTGGCTGCATCTCCGAGGGTACACCGCAAAAGGAGAGAGGGGCACGAGTGCGCATACAGTCTCTCCTTTGGTGCGGGAGGCCTGGGCACGCGCTAAAAGCTGGCCTCGCTCCAATAAGGAAGCAATATACCTTGAGTCGTCCCTTTGTCGTGCATCCCTAACGAGCTGCCATTGTCTCGACTCCTCCACTCCTTCTTCCCTGGCTCGTCGATAATTATGTTGGTCCATCGCTCGTTAGCCCGCCCCTTCTTCTTCTTCTTCTTCTTCTTCTTCCACTTCTTCCGCTTCTTCTTCGTGCACCCCGCCAGGACAAACTTTCGGAATTTTTCAATTAGACTCCCGCGCGCGCACTTTCTTGTAAATGCTGTCGCTGCCTGCTCTTCACGGAGCCCCAAGAAATACTTGAGATGTCAACAGAGCGAGTCAGGACGACTTGGACTTTATCAGATTTTTTTTGCGGGGGAGGGGAGGAATTTTCGTTATTCTGCCGGATTAACTTTCCTTTTCAGACGATTTATATCTGCTCAAGTTCAAGCATTTAATAGAAGTTATTCCTGTTTGAATGCTTTAGCGCTGCGCGAGATACCTTTCGTCTTACAGCAAAAAATGATGTATATTAAACTCGGTGGAGCAACAATTACAAGTCTGAAAATAATAATTGGGTAAATACAATTCTTCCTTTCAATGATTTTTCGCACATCACGCTGTGAAAGCTCGACTAGTAAATCACATTCTCAATTGTAAAAGTATGAATTCATGCATGGGCAACAACAGTAAAAACGTTGAAATCACAGAAAAAAATGTATGCGCTGAAAAAGCGATAAGTCTTAGAAGTCGAAGTGATGCTCGAGGCATATCGCGTACGGAAAGGTATCAGCAGCGGCAGCAGCACCAGTAGGTTCGATATTTTGTCTGTGCGTGAGAGGAAATTTTTATTTTTCGAATGGAATATTTATTGAGTTATTGGAAATTTTCAATTTCACCTGGCGAAACCCGTTTGCAATATCCCGTTGTTCTATCCCTGGCCGGCATTATAATACAAACTTTCCGAATATCTCCTATATTAATTCGAAAATGCAAAATAAGCCGTTCGCCGAATAATAAATCGAACTCGCATTAATAATGATGCGTCGAATTTGCATGTCGAGCAGAGCTGCCGTTGTATTGACGATATTAATGCTCGCGCGCACTTTTAAATTATCGATGAGCATCAATTGCATGTCTCTCGAAGCCAATTTTTCATTAACGGCGCCATTCAGTTTTGAGGACCGTCCGAATATTAGCGCCATCAAAATACAACTCGAACGCAAAATAACAGCCGAGACGCGCAACGCCACGAGTCGGCGTCGAAACAATATAGTCATTAAATCGCGTGCGACGAAAGCGCGCGAGTCGGCGCTCTCATGTATAATAAATTTATGCGCCGGAGTAGCAGCGGCGAATCGGTCTATCGCGCGCGCCACTCATTTTTCCCGTACAACCGAGCGCAGGTACGATACACACACACACACACACACACACACACACACACACACACACACACACACACACACACACACACACACACACACACACACACACACACACACACACACACACACACATATAGAAAGAGTGAGAGAGAGAAAGAGAGAGAGAGAGAGAGAGAGCTCGTTTTTCAACGGCGACAAAAAGTAACTGATTCTTGAATGTTTCAGGTGCAAGGCGCCGTCGAGATACATGAAGGATCTGCCAGCCACGGCCGTGATCATCTGCTTCCACAACGAGGCCTGGTCGGTGCTGCTGCGTACCGTGCACTCGGTGCTCGACAGGTCGCCCGACCACCTCGTTCAGGAAATCATCCTCGTCGACGACTACTCCGACATGCGTGGGTGTCGAGCACCGCTCGCCTTTTCAATCCGATTTACGCCGAGCGTGCGCGGATGCAGTGGTTCAGGAGCCTTTACGTTGACGTTCCCCTCCGCCCGGGGCGGCAGCCGAGCCGCCACTCGCTCGGACTTCATTGATATTGTTTGTTATTTTTAATTGCCGGCGCTCGACCTGACCAACCGCTGCCCCGGGCGGACATGTCGACCGAAAGCTTTCCGGCCGACAAATAAGCCAAACTCGCGTAATGAAATATGTAGCGATTGCGCGGTCGCCGTAAAATGACATGCAAAGCCTCGCACCCTCGAAAAAGGGCGGCGAGGACAAAGTTCACTCGGAATCTATTGTCGTTGCGGCCACAAAGCCTCTCATCCATTGCTCTATACAAACTTGGTCGACAAGTGCTCTCTCGCTCGCTCGATGGCGAACTGGCAAAGTCGAGATCAGCGTCATGCAAATTACGCGGCTAAACACTCGGGTATGCGAGAGCGACGACACGATTGCATTGTGCATGCGCCGCTAAACCGCTTTCGTACATATCGACGAGGCGGAGAGAGAGAGAGAGAGAGAGATAGAGAACGACCAAAACACGATGATCCCCCCCCCCCCCTTCCCTCCTCCTCCTCTTTATACTTCGGCAAACGCGCGCGAGGCTTAAAGCTCTATACCCGAAAGCTTAAGATCGACCTCCTGCCCCTCCGCCCTCGCCAAAGCCCATTCGTTATTCGAATAAATCAAGCTGGACTTTGGTTCGCGATATCCATCTAATCGCTCAGCCGTAAATCGAACGCTGCTCAGAAATTTCCACCGCTCGCCTACACCTACTCTACGACTGTTTTGCATTTTTCCGCTCGGTTTTCAGAATTTTTGCCCGTTCAAGCTACAACAGGAAGTTGCTCACTTTTCGCGCGACCTTCAAACCAATTGGCGCACCGTTTATTTTTAAAAAGTATACGCGATCGACGAGGCGAAGTAAAAATATATCGTTCATTATCTTTTCTATCTTTTCTCACCGCAAAGCTAATCGCAGCTGAATTATTGAAAAGGCATTCTAAAAAAGAATACTCTAAAGATAATGAGACATTTGCATTGTCTAATCAGACGCGATTAGTTTAGAAATGCATGAGCGACCTGGGTTTATCAACTCTAATTTGATAAACGTATAATTTTAGCCCACCTGAAGCGACAGTTGGAAGACTATATGATGAACTACCCGAAGGTGCGAATCCTGCGAGCTCAGAAACGCGAAGGACTGATAAGAGCGCGACTTCTGGGCGCGGCGGTGGCGACGGCGCCCGTGCTCACCTATCTCGACAGTCACTGCGAGTGCACCGAGGGTTGGCTCGAGCCTCTCCTCGACCGTATCGCTCGCAACTCGACGACTGTCGTTTGTCCTGTGATCGACGTCATCGACGACACCACCCTCGAGTATCACTGGAGGGATTCCGGCGGCGTTAACGTCGGCGGTTTCGACTGGAATTTACAAGTTAGTGCAGCTTCGTTGAGCTTGTCTCGTTATTAGTTTCCTACTACCCCGACCTACGTTTGCCCCCCCCCCCCCCGTGTCTTCGTTCTCGTCATCCTACGCAGCTACTTGCCGAGAGTTGTCTCTCGGTGTTCTTCTCTTCGGCTGTCGATTTTTCCGTTTCTCTATCCCACGTGCGCCCAATTTATCGGAAGAGACTTTGCCCTTGTTGCCGACTAAATATTTTTCTTCGAGTTTCTAACTTTCCTATCGATATCATACGATGACAGTATATTTGCTGCTCTTTCAGAGCGACGAGATGATTTGCTCGGCTCGTCTTTTAAAATCTCGGAATATCTTCTCTTATAAAGAAGGATCTCTCAAAAATTAAAATATATATATTATACATATATTCTTTTTCCGGAAAACTTTGAAATATGAAACGGCCGCAGGTAATTTTTGCAAAAAACCTTTTTAAATTTTTCAAATTCTAAAAATTCTTCGCACATTTCCACGGGCGGTCGCAACAAGGGAAAGAATTATTCCCCGTTCGGTTCGTTGAAAGCTGAATAGATACCGTCTACATCCGGTAAAAAAAATAGAAAAAATGTATTAGCACTATGAAACGTGAGTGATCCACCATCGAAATCCTCGAGTGAAGCAGGAAAAAGGAAGCAGCGCAGTAAGTTCGACAAATTCCCAACAAACTCTAAACTGATATTTACCAATGGCAAACAGCCGGCAGCCGTTTTATTTCCAAAACTCCAATATCCGCCAGGCCGCTGCCGCGCAAAGCTCAACTTTGTCCTGCACGCCAGTGGGACGAGCCGAAATAAAGCGAAAAAGCGCGCCGGTCGCGCGTCGACTTATTGGTAATCTAAACTAGCCGTGTACGTGTCTGCGAACAGTTCAACTGGCACGCGGTACCCGAGCGCGAGAAGAAGCGTCACCTGAACCCAGCCGAGCCGGTCTGGTCGCCGACGATGGCTGGCGGCCTGTTCGCCATCGACCGCCAGTTCTTCGAGAGGCTGGGCACCTACGACAGCGGCTTCGACATCTGGGGCGGCGAGAACCTCGAGCTCTCCTTCAAGACTTGGATGTGCGGTGGTGCGTATATCCCTCCCTCCCGCCCCCCCCCCCTTTCCACCGCGCGACCTCGCCAACCGCGCGTAGCCATGCGCTTGACAAGTCGATTGTGGTTGCAGGCACGTTGGAGATAGTGCCGTGCTCGCACGTGGGTCACATCTTCCGCAAGCGCTCGCCCTACAAATGGCGCAGCGGCGTGAACGTGCTCAAGAGGAACAGCATTAGGCTCAGCGAGGTCTGGCTTGACGAGTACGCCAAGTACTACTACCAGAGGATAGGACACGACAAGGTTGGTCTCCTGCCGGCCCGCTGTTGACTTTTCGGCCAACGCACGGCCCGAATATCGTTGGCTTTTCCTCTCCCGCGTGCGGATCGATGTGTCTGTATCTCTGTTATTTTTTTTCGCCTCCGAATCGCGTTCTATTTTACACGCGTTTCTGTAGCTGACAAGCGCGAGCGCTATTCTGAAATTGGCAACGAGTCGCGAGACGGCGCACGAGGCGTATTTATCGGGCAATCGATTGAATTCGAAAGTATATCCGCTCTTTGAAACGACGCAGGGAAATTGAGGGTGACACTTGGCGCTGGGAATTTTTCATCGTCATAAAAATCTCAGCTATGCCCGCGGAGAGCGACGGCTACGACTTGAATTGATCATCGTCTATCGTGTCGATTCGCGCATCAAGTGTTTTTTTAGCGTGTTATAACTAACGCGTCTCGGTTGAAAGTTGCAAAAAGAAAGAGAGAGCGAGATAAAAGAAGAGAGCAGAAGAAGAGGAAAATGTTTTAACCACTTTTCGCCAATCGCGAGAGGTGGAGTATTTTTCTGGCTCATCTCCTGGCTCGCAAGCAAGCAAGCAAGCAAGCAAGCAAGCAAGCACGTCAAACGCAGAGTAGAAGCGAACTTTATCAGAGTGCGAGTTATAAGTGCAGACTCAATAGCGCGTGTTTACGATGCTTTTCTCTCACTTTTTTCCTCTCTCTGTCTCTCTCCCTCCCTCCCTCCCGTTCTTTTTACTTTTTTACGACTCGACACTCGCTCACTATGTTGCTGCCTCGTTTCAGGGAAATTATGGGGACGTGTCGGAGCGTAAAGCGCTGAGGAAAAAGCTCAGCTGCAAGTCCTTCAAATGGTATCTTGACAATGTTTACCCGGAGCTCTTCATTCCCGGCGAGGCGGTCGCTTCCGGCGAGGTAAGTTTTGCGCCCCGAAAACGCGCCTTTTATCACCCCTCGCTCGCTACTCCAGTTTACAGCCAGCCATGTGGAATCGACGCCGACGATGCAAGAGTACAGGAAAAAAAGCAAAAAAAAAAAGAGAAAAAGCTACCCTCGCTCTCTAACGCCACGTCTATGTATCTCAGTTTTTCAGGTGCACATCGGCCAGATGTGGTCTCGCGCAAGAAGTCAACCAGGGCAATCGCGCTGGCCCTTTCCGAGGCCCCCTCCGTTCGTCCGACGTTCGTACGTACGCGCCGCCGCGAATAGAAATTTGCGAATTGGAAAACAGGTTGGACTTTTCGATTAAAAAAAAACCTGTTCCACGTTCGAACGTCCCTTTTGTTCGGGCGAGAAACGCGCGCGCTGGCATCGATAACGTTTTATCGTCGCGCTCGCTTTTTTCCGTTTTTTTTTTTTTTTTTTTCCCTTCTTTTTTTTCATCGACTCGTGTTTTCCCTTTGAGAGCTCGGCCGTTCGGCGTTATTGCATATTCCGGCGGATTGATTCGCTTTTCCTGATTTATGTCCTCGACCCCTCGATCCGACCCGTAATTGCTAAATCAATCTTGTCGCTCGCGCGCGCGTGCGCGCATCTTCCTGCAGATTTTTATGGAAATGCAACTTGGCCGCTGCCCTGTCTCTTCTTTTTTACGCCATGGATTTGTCCGCCCATTAATATATATATATATATATATATATATATATATATACATACACGTGTATCCCAGCGCAAGCATCGCTTGGCGCGAATTTATCGCTGGCGCGAGGTTGCGATTAGCGGCGCGGCGACGTGAATAATTCCAGATGACGATACGTGACGACGGCTGACGCGCGCGTTGGCTCTTCAACCAGACCTGACTAATTGCCGGCTCGAGGTAATAACGCGGACCGTTGCTGACGCACTTTCCTCTTCTCGTTAGGGCTAGCGCGATGCCGGTGATTCCGCCGCAGATGTTTTAATTAGTTTTCAGCTTCTCCGTCTGACGTGTATCCTCTGTTTCAATACCAAGCGGGAATTCGCAAATGTGCGGTCTCAACGCTGTAAAAGAGCGTCCACTTTAATTAAATCTCGCAAGCGAACGATACGCCTTTCGCAGGCGTATCCTCATTTTCTCGGATATACGCGCATCACGAATTCCTTTCGTTGAGAGGAGAAGGGGGGGATCTTCACTGCTCCGCCAAGTTCCGCGAGAAGTTATTCATCGAAAGGCTCGAGACAAAGAGAGAATATTAATACTCGCGTCTAATTGCGATACGTCTGGAAAATCCGTGCACTTTGTCTATTGTCGTAACTTGGCTATTCAATTAAACAGCGGCAACTTGAGCGAGATGAATTTCAGAGTGTAATTCTGCGCGCGCGGGCCGGGTGGAGTAACTCACTTGACTGAAATTCAGTGAAAATAGTGTTGAACGCACATTGCAATTCCAGCTTGAAATCCAGGCGTTCCCGCAGAGCCCTTTCCAGCCGAGTTAACTAGCAATTTTTCCACAGGAGAAGCGCCGCAGCCAGCGGTCCGACGAGCAACAAGAGCGGGGAGGGAAAAAATTTCCTTTCAGCGCGCTCTCGCGTTTACAAGAACGGGAGGAGATATCACATACCTCGGAGCTTCCGGAATGTCCAGTGGCCGTGTGTGTGTGTGCGCGCGCGCGCGCGAGCGACGTTCTCGCTCTGATATATATTTTTTTATTACCTCCCTCTTGGTTCCTGTGTTTTTCGTGCGCCCGAGGGACTTCGAAGACGGAAAGCGTCGCGCGCGCACACGCACACGCACACGCTATGAAAGCAAATACATTGAAATGAACTAACAAAATTGAATAACGAGTGAGAGTGTGGATTATTAACCGAACGAACGGCACGAAAATACTAAATAGGTGAGAAACTTGGGCGAGGGCGGCAACACCTGCTTGGACTCGCCGGCCAGGAAGGCCGATTTGCACAAGCCCGCCGGCCTCTACCCTTGCCATCGCCAAGGAGGCAACCAGGTATTCCGCGAAACGAAAACAGCGCCCAGCCCATCACCACCAGCGACGACGACGCCTAGCTCGCGCAGCCTCCAGCGCTCTGGAAATTGAGATATTGTCTTTCCTTGTGACTCGCGCGAGATCGTGATCGATCGCCCAAGCGGCTGCAATTCGCGAGGGAGGGTCGCGACGAACGAGCGATTCACTCGGCTCCCGAATCCCGACTGACGTACGCGCGGGCTCTGCGTGCTGCTGCTTGTCACTTCGCGGACGCCTTCGCGTGTCGCAACGCTCGCACGCGCCTCCTGATTGAAATTTTAGTCGACGCGCGGTCTCTCGCGTTGCGAGTTTCCTACGAAATCAGCCATTTCCGTATTAATTTCCACGAGAGCCGCGCGTTCTGCGCCCCTCCCTCTCCCCACTGGAAATTCGATCGAACGCAGCCAAACGGGAACTCGATCATCGGCGCTTGCAGCGTAACGGAAGCACTTCATTTCCGCGTCGGCGGAAAAGCAAAGAGAGGCGCAATCGTCACGTCTGACGAAAAAAAAATTGTATATATCGTTCGGTAGGCGTGAACGAGGACAGCAGCCGTTGTGCAGCCGACCCGTATAATCCGCCGAACGAGTTTGCCTTCGGGCCGTTAAGCACGCGAGTAATGAATCGGTCTCGGCGATTTCCAGAGCGCGCGGGGCCGTTGCTGCCACGGCCACGCGTCAGAGCGAACAAAAAGCGTGCATGCGGGAGAGAGAGAGAGAGAGAGAGAGAGAGAGAGAGAGAGAGAGAGAGAGAGAAAGAATGCGTTTGTGCGAGTGTGGAAGCAAGCAACGATGTTGTGACGTCCTTTCGTGCGCAGATCCGACACTTGGCTAGCCGACTGTGCATTGACTCGCCGGGCAACCCCGAAGACCTGCACCAGCCTGTAGGCTTCTATGAGTGTCATAACCAGGGCGGCAATCAGGTACACGCGACTTGCCTCCGCCTTCTTTCTTATCTACGCGCCGTCCGATTGTTGGCGGTGCCGATGATCGGATGTCGACGGTGTTGGTGTAGGCGCTAAAGCTCATCTAACCCTCTGCTTGTCTGTTGTCTCTAACGATTCTCCTCGCGAGCGGTTTGCGGTGTGTAACCTGACCGCCGCTAACGTCGATTAACAAGCCCCTAACAAACAATAAACGTCGAGGTTGAGTGGAAGAGGAACTGGCGATCGGTCGCATCTCCACTCGTCGGGTTCGAGTCTCGCGAGCGCGCGCAAGCCACGTACCGAGGTAAACTGCTTACGCGACGTTTTCCTCTCGGTCTCTCCGCAGAGTCCTATCCTCGCTCTCATGCTCCGCAATCAACATTGGACGCGAGCCCGCGCTTGGGAATAAAGGGAAGAAAATGCTGCTTTTTTCTTTTATTCTCTCTTTTTGTCAGCCCCACCCCTGTCCCCTCATCCTCGAATCGCGTGTGTCGTATGCGTGGGCGAGTGCGAAAGTTGGGCTTTTCGGTGCTGGTGGTGGTAACTATTAAGCGACGGGCGAACTCGCGCTTGGCTTTTTCTAACCGTCCGGCCCTCTGTCCGCAGTACTGGATGCTGAGCAAGACCGGCGAGATACGCAGAGACGAGTCGTGCCTGGACTACAGCGGCACCGACGTTATCTTGTACCCATGCCACGGCAGCAAGGGCAACCAGCAGTGGACCTACAATACTCAGGTGATTGCGAGGCTTCTCTCTTTTCGTTTTGACTAGGGAGTCGATTCGCTCTAATTGAAATTTCGGCCGCGTGCGAGCTGACTTTTTATTTTTGTTTTCTTTTTTTTTTTAAATGAAACACGATGTTTTCGATGAAAAGCGGCCAGTGACGGCAAACGAGCGCTCCAACGAGCGCGTTTAATTAAGATAATCGGCGCACCGTGTCTGCGTTTCATTAGCGGCGAGAGTATCGCCGAGTTATTTTTCGACGCCGTGCGCGGGCCCGGCTCGCGAGCAACGCGGCCGAGCGGATCGGAGGATAATTCGAACGTCAATACGGCGCTCGCCGTCGATATTTATCAATCTATTATTCGTGCTGGCATCGCGGCCGCGTCGAGCACATCGACGGCCGGTCAATGGGCTACAGTGCCGTCCGGACGCTCCGTTGACACACGCTGCTGGCCGTCGATCTGAGCTCGTGCGCGCGCAACGCGAGTCGACGTCGCTCGCCAATTCGCGATGACTCGCGCGATCCCGTACGACGACAAAGATACGGGGGAGCTTCGCCATCGGCAATCGGGCAGCTCCGCGTAGACGTCCCGTCACTTGGACTCGCGTCCACGCTGACACCGTGAAAATCCGGTATCCGCCCGGGCTCCCACGTACACAATCGCGCCAGGGTCATCGAGCTCTTTCATTATTGCGCGCGCTGACAAATGGGCCGGCCCATATTCATGTTTCACGAATAACACTGCTCGTTATGAATTACAGCGGAATGGCAAATACCGTTAGTTAGCTCTCGCGACTCGCTCGCACGAGTGAAATTCGCAGCGGTGAATATAAACTGCTACGTCGATAAAAATGTTTCGACGCAATGTTCGTTTGGCCGCTCGCACGCTTCATCAACGATTGCTCGGCAAATGGAAAAGTTGTTATTTCTATTTTACGTGTCAATATCCGCGGCACGTATTTGATTTTTATTATTTACGGGAATCCGATCAAAGTCCACTTTATCAAATTAGCTCGCTCTTGTGTCTCGGAAAATAGTATAATTGATAAAGTTGCAAGTTTGGGTATAGCGCGCGCGAATCAGTGACGCTCTAGCGATCGCGAAGTCTAGCGCCAATTAATCGGGAGGCGTGCGCGTTAAAAACTTTCCGCGATCGAAAATTGAACGAAGTAGTAGAACGGTTCGGGAGAGATGCAGCGCTGGAGATCAGTCGCCGAAAGAGAGAGAGAGAGAGGAGCGCATCGGGGGAGCGTGTCGCGATAGGAAACGGCCGTTTGGGAGCAGTCGCGGGCTGCAATTGAATGTAGCAATTGATGGCTGTGCTGCGTTGCAGACGAAGCAGATCAGGCACGAGAGCAGCGGCAAGTGCCTGGCGATCACGGAGAGCAAGCAACGTCTGCTGATGGAGGAGTGCAATCCGAGCGCCGGCAGACAGAGGTGGGCCTTCGAGAACTACGACCCATCGAAGCTGTGATACCGCGTGCCGCTGCTGCCACGCCAACAACAGCATCGCCGTCGCCGTGGCGGCTCTGGAGTGAACCTGCTCGCGGCGACGCTCATGCTGATACTCTGAGCATTCCATACTTCCTCCTTCCTGGCAGTCTTCGAGCGTACGAGACTGAGGGAGCGCGCGAGTTGACTCTTTGACAATTGTTACGATCGACGAGAGAAAGACAATTATTTTTGTATTTTTTCTATATACATGTAGGCGCTTAGGCCTTTGTACAAATACTCTGTAAAAAAAAAGAAGAAAGCTGAAAAACACTCACTCACCCGATACACTCACATACGATTCTAATGCCAGTTTGTTCTACTTAGGATTAGAGAGAATTTATGAGATTGCGTGAGAAAAAGAGACGGAAAAGAGCGCGTGCGCGCGTGAGACTGATTGTGCGATTGTGGTATAAATATTGAAAGTCTGTGCAATGAGAGAGACTTTAAAAATTAGCTCATTACTAGTTGCCAATCTATTGTAATCGAATAAACAAAAATAATAATGGAAAAAAAACAAAAAAATAAAAACAAATAAACAATCTTCAAAGTGGCGTCGCCGTTCGTTGCTGCTCGCCGCCGTTGTGTGTTCATAGGCATCTGTCAAAGAGCCCCTTTTATCATTTTTCATTGTCGAACAGAAATACCGAACAGAAACAAAGGCTGGGAGGTCCCGTGTATAATTAGGCGCGAGCTGCATGTAACCTAACAGACCGACGTACGCTGATTATTATACATAAATAATTATAAACGAAGCAAGAAAAACACATACAGACAAAAACACACACATGCATTTTGTACGTTTGGAGTTAAGGATGTGGCATATCGTAAGAGAAAGTGACATATGAAGTTGGCGGCTCCGTGAGACAGCCGTCATCTCCCCCGACGTGCCTTATACATTTCCATGTAAATAAAGTACTAAGAAGTTTTTAGACGTTGTAAACGAAAGGGAGGATGCGACGCTAGTTGCGTTTGCCCGATCGACGACAGTTCCGCGGCGAGATGCCGCGGAAGCAAGCGAGCATTTGTGTTGAGAGAGATGAACAGCTAATAAACGAAAGCAAAAATCGATGTTGTTTTATGTTACATCGAGCGTCTCTTCATTTCTCCCCAACCCAGCCTGGCCTACATTAGTAGACAAACGAGGCAATCGCATATATTTACCGGTGGAGAGTGAATAGAGAGAGAGAGAGGGTCGAAGAGAGTGTGTAATCTCCGAGAGTAAAAAACGGCAATTAACTGGCGTGGATAGATTAAAGCCAGGCCTCCGGAGCGAGGTGTGCAGCCCTCCCTCCCCGAGCCAAAATGAAATCGCTCGTTATTCCAGCGCAGCCGCGTTATGAGTGAGTGGGCTCGGAAGAGTGTCGCTGCTGTTCCGCGCCGAAGCACTGGTCTCCGAGGAGCGAAGAGACTCCCCTCGCTTTCGTCTCTCTCTCTCTCGCTCTTTGTCTTTCTCTCTCTTCCCCCCTGTGCCTCGTTGAAAAGGCGCAAACGGGAGCCCCGCTGCCAAGTGCAGGCTGCGGAGAGCCTCGAGGAGCAGTTGCGTCGGTGCCCAGCCCGGATGATCGATCATTCGGCGCCGAGCATCCCGCGCAAGGACGACGCTTGGCAGGGGGTCGGCGAGGCGCAGGTGCGCGGGCTTCGATCGTCGAGCGCGGGCTCATGCGCAGTGGCTCGGTGGCGAGGCTGACTCCGGCCGAGAGCGAGCGAGCTGCTCGAAGCCGCGCGCAAGCTGGTTCGCGCGATCGCACGGCGAGGTCGACAACGGCGCCGGCGACAGCGGCGACTACGCCAGGAGAAGGTGCGCACCCCTGGGGTCAGGCCAACGCCAAGCTGTTCCTCCGCAGCCGCAGCCCGTGCGGCGAGCGCGGCTTCGAGCAACAGGTACCCGCGCCAGCAGCTAACGCTTCCGCTTGCTCTCCGCTCGGCTACGCTTCCGCGCTCGCGAGAGAGCACGCTCTGACGAGTCAGTGCCGAGCAGCAGCACCTGGCCGACGGCGAGCGCTCGGCCGACGAGGCCGAGGGGCCGCCGGACTGCGAGCTGGGCACCATGCCGGAGGCCGCTGCCGCTGGGGCCATCGGGCTCCTCGGCGACGAGACGGACAACTCCACCTTCGAGAACAAGTCCGGCCTCGCCGAGGACATGAAGTTCCTGGCGAGGATGCCCGAGCTCTGCGACGTCACCTTCCTCGTGGGCGAGACCCGGGAGCCCGTCTGCGCGGTCAAGGCTGTGCTGGCCGCCAGGAGCAAGTAAGTAATTGGCCTTGCTCGCCGTCGCGTTTGTCCGGCCGAGCCGATGTTTCGATCCCCACCCTCGGGCTTTTCCGGGATTCACTTGCGGACGCGCGCGCGCGCGGGGCGTGTGTTTTACGCACTTTTTTTTCCGACCAAAGCTCTCGACTGGACAGTAGACTGATTCGCTCGCAATTAAAGAGCGTTACTCGTCTATTCCTTGCTTTTTTCACCGCTGTCTGGCCGTTTTCTTGTACTTACGAGTATTCGCCGAGAAAGGCTAAAAATTTATTGGCGGGAGCAAGGCTGAACGTGGTGGAGAAGGGAGCAATACCATTATTTTTCTTTTCGTTGATATAGCAATTTTTCTCGCAGCAAAAAGTTTTTTTTTCTTTCATTTAAATCGATTGATCAAAGTTATTCGATAAAAATTATTGAAAAAAAAAAATTATCGTTCATACTCGCAAAAAATCGTTTCTGTAATCAAGTTAATTATATTAAGTAACGAGTACTGCTCGAAATGAATACAAATAATCCGCGACTAAAATTGAGCAATGGACTGTCCAAAACAAGTAGTCAATTATTTCGCTTGAGTATTGATTGCGCATAAGAGTAGAAGTATATCGTAATTAAGTGAGAAAATGCTCGACTACGTATTCGTGTTAAAAAAATAAAGCTTATTACTGTGTTGGAAAACGGGTTCACTAACGAGCAAATGAAGGTACGCGCAAGTATAGTTCATTTCCCCGGTGGCCGAGGGAGAAAAAATGACGCACGAACGTACGTCGATTCATAGTCAGTGAATCCGCCCCCGTCGTCGCCCCTCTGCGTCCGCATCGGTCTAAGTAATCGCCTCTCGCGCATGAGTCCGTTTACGCGCTTATCGAGCGACAGCGGAAAGAGAAAAAAGTGCTGATTTGTCAATCTCGCTCAGGGTCTTCCACAAGATGTTGTACACGGCGCCGAGTCCTCAGCGCAAGAAGGAGCCACCGCCCAAAGAGAACAAACTGAAGCTGTTCCTGAAGCGGAGCTCCGAGCCCTTGCTCAACTTGCAGAACGCAGCGCAACAGGTAAGACGGAAAACCAACGCTGCAGTGTTCGCTCGTATACGGTCGTCTTGATTTGCGTCTGAAGACGACTCGACACGCGTCAATATTCATTTCTTCTCTCTGTCTGTCTGTCTGTCTGTCTCTCTCTCTCTCTCTCTCTCTCTCTCTCTCTCTTTCTATCTCGCTGACGTCGCTACACAACTGCTTTGATAACAAACACCTTATGTTGTGTGCCATACAGCGGTCAGGGTTCACGCAGCAGCTGGCGTCCATTCAAGAGGTATCGCAACAGCCTTCAATAATTTATTTATTTTTGACGAAATTTCCTCCGCTCGGCCCTCCGGTTTGTCACGTTGTCGTCTAGCTGTACGCACGTGGATATCCCTTGAGAGGTTCGGCACTTGTTGCGACAAACGTCCGTTGCCGTGGACACGCATGCGCATGCACTACACGTAGAATCCGTTCCTCCTTTCGACGGCTATAGCAGAACGCGCGGCAACGTACGCGCATACCGTTAATCGCGCGTATTGAATCGTCGCTATAGTCTAGTGCCATCCGCCAACCAGTGTTATTATCGTAGTAGTTTAATGAGCACATTTGCCACGGCCGTAATCATATGTGTTTTAGACTTCCTCCTTCGACGATATCCTGCAGTACAGTAGAACAATGAGTCGTATGCACAATGTAACTTTCTGCGCGTCACTGTGTTTTCTCTCTCTCTCTCTCTCTCTCTTTTGTCTTGTGCCAATTTTTTCCCTCCACCGCGGATGTTTAAAATACAAGGATGAATTTTACGAGTCTATTTTCAATCGACACCTGATTGGAGCTTCGCAAGTTGGCCGAACGAAGTTCGCTTTACGCGCGATTCACTGAGCAGTGAACAGTTGGTCGAGATGGACTCGCCGTCAGTTGAAATAGGCGACGCTCGCAATCGGAACTAAATGAATTGTCAGTGCTGAGTGGATGCGGCAAGTTTGAAAGAGCACGCCCCGACCAATCATGCACGCTCCAGCACCGCGCGATCGACCGTTTGTTCCGTGAGGCATTGATCGATCGAAGCCGACTCTTATTTGCCGTCCTGTGGCGTAAGAGCTGGCTAACGAGTTGTTTCGTGAACACCGCAGCCGCAGCCGTATTACCACCACACGTTGGTTATCGACGAGTTCGAGCCGGACGTCTTCCGCCAGCTGATCGAGTACATTCACACGGGAAGCGTGACCCTGCAGCCGCGCACCCTGCTCGGTGAGTAGGCCGAGGCGCGCACCGGCCCTGCGCGAGCGACGCTTCAAAGGACGCGTTGTGTGTCCGCAGGTGTGATGAACGCCGCCGACTACTACGGGCTGGACGAGCTGCGACGTGCCTGCGCCGGATTCGTGCAGTGCTGCATCACGGTGGACACGGTGTGCGCCCTGCTGGCCTCCGCCGAGCGCTACATCCAGTACAAGTGCACTAAATCACTCGTGCAAAAGGTATGAATGCCGCGGCGACGCGCCGGATCAATCAGTCGCGATTGATTGGACGCGCGCCGATGGCTTTCCATTGCAGCCGGCCGCACGCGATATTTCACCCGGCTCCATTGCTCGGCGATTCCTCCCTCTTGTCTCCCTCTTGTCGTTTCGCTACTCATTTTTCTCGAGTCGCTGTATACGAGTACAAGCTCGGTGAGCTGATTGGGGCGCTTGACCGATCGCTCTGCCGCACTGCCATTGATCGTTGTCTCTCTCTCTCTCTCTCTCTCTCTCTCTCTCTCTCTCTCTCTCTCTCTCTCTCTCTCTCTCTCCCTCTTTCTCTCTCGTTTCGACGAGTGGCCGAGCCGAATTATGACGCTCCGCTCCCGATGAGAATGGGGTGTATCGCGTTGCTCGCGGTGTTGGCGCGACATTTAGCCAGGCTCGCGTCCGGCCGACGCTCGGTCTCGAATCAATTCCGAAGCGCCATTGAACGTCGTCTACGATGAACGCCTAACGACGCCTTTCCGTGGTAATGTACTTCAGGTGCTGGAATTCGTTGACGAGCGGGGCAATGAGGTGCTCAATCTCGGCTCGTTCACGCTGCTGCCGCAGCACGTGGTGCGCTTGATTCTCGCGCGGGAAGAGCTGCGCGCCGACGAGTTCACCAAGTTTCAGGTAGGTTCAGGTTCAGGCCCCGGCCGCGATTGCCACGTGTACGATCCGAGCGTTGTGTGCAGGCCGCGCTAATGTGGAGCAAGAAGTACTGCGACAGCAACCCCACGATCGATCTGAAAGAGGTGATCAACAACTTCATCGAGTACATCCAGTTCCACAAGATCCCGGCCAACGTGCTGATGCACGAGGTGCACCCGCTGGGTCTGGTGCCGAACACCACCATCGTGAACGCGCTGGCCTACCAGGTAAGCTCGGCGCCGTGCTGTCCGCGCCGGTGCGTCGCTGAGTTCGACCTTTACCGCCTTTTCGCAGGCAGACCCGACAAGCGTAGACCCCGGTCAGCTGTCGCCGCATCGGGTGCGCCGCCAGGGCCGCTCGATGTCCGTGCAGTCGTCGCTGGATCCGTACGGCAGCAGCGTCACGCTCAACTCGCTGGGCAGCGACGCCGGCTCCGGCAGCGACCAGCGCCAGCACAGCGGCAGCAACTAACCTCTGGCGTCCGCGGTCCCGGCCGCGGAAGTCGCCGCCTGCCTCGCCTGCCACCAGTCGACCGCCGGCTCCGGCGCCGAGTCGCTCAGCATCGAGGAGGAGCCACCGTCCGCCGAGGACGACGAGGTCGCCGCCGTGCTCAACCGGCGCATCCTCGTGCGGGCCGACGTCGAGCTGGTCACCTCGCCGCCCAGTCCCGTGGTCGAGCCGCCGACGCCCACGCCGCCGCCGCCCCAGCCGCCTGCCACCCGCGCGCCCGACAGCACGGGCCTCTACATCAGGATGGTGCTCAGGCAGGAGGGCAGGCTCAGCAACCACGTCTGGCTCTACAAGACGCACAAGTTCTAGCGCCGAGCGGCCCGGCCAACCGAAAGTTCGATGTCCGCGCTCGCTCCACCTCCTCGCGCTCGCTGTCGTCTCTCGGCCTCTCGCGCGAGCTCATCCCTCACGGCCCGAGAGCTGCTCGTCTCCTCTTCGCTCTGTCTCATTTCTGCGAACTGATGGGATTCAACGTCGCGTCAAACGTCCAATTTTCGCCTGCCAAAACCGGCGCCCGCCAATATACATTCGCTACGGGAATGTACTTGGGTTGTCTGATTGGCAGATTCGGTTCGCACGACGCCTCTCATCGTTTCCATCTGGATTCGCGTAGCGTTGCGTTGATTGTCGAGATAAAAATTAAAAAAAAAAAAATAACCGTTTCACTTGACGTGAAGCACCTCCGCTAATTGGGCTTTCTCATCGACAGACGTGTAAACTGCTTCCATACGCTGAAACTCTTCTTTCGTTCGTCTACCTCGCGCGTTCTAATTCGAGCGTTAACGGCCAGCCGCTAACACGATGCTTCCGTCGATTCGACAAACTGTACTACTTGGCTGTTTACCGATCGGCAAACTCAACGTGTATACACACGCACACATCGTCATTGTCAACCTCACGTGCGCGCACGAATACGTGTCTAGGAATTGAGACGTCAATGGTATATTTTGTAATACAGACACACTTGGATCGCAGTGGCTCTCTTTCTCGCATTTCTCGACTCTCTCACTGCCACGCACGAGACAACGCCGCTTTGGCTCGTCGAATGTGGACAATGCAAGGGAAAGAGTAAGAAAATAGGCGCCCGCGCTCTCCGCGACATCCGCTACTCACTTTTCATACGCGCGACGCAGAAGAGGCTATTTTCTTCAAAATCTATTTTTTTCGCGGATTACATAAACATACGGCTGGGACGCGCGCGTCGCTATATATACATATATTCAAATGTGCATTTTTCGAATGACGCGTGTAGTCAGCCACATATCACACCTATTTTTCCGACTTTCCATATTCCAACTGGATACAACTTAGCTGCGCATTTATGAAAGTTTTGTGGACGCGATGGTCATATTACTATAATACATATGTAACTTGCCTCTTGTACGCGTGTTCACTCGACGACGATGATTCTTGTACTGGAATGCAATATATCGTCTTTAATAATAAATACTTTCGCTTTTGGTAGAGGACTTCTTGGCTTCGAGTGCGCGCTATACATTCAACATGGTCAACCATAAAAAATATATATATATGTGGATGATCCCGATCCTTCGACGTATCGCTGTTGCATTCACACTCGACACGCGCATATGTGATCACTGTAGTATACCATGTTGCTGTTGTTATATATATATATATGTATATATATATCAATGTTATCTTGCATATTATGTATTGTTGTGTCTAGACAGTGAAGGAAAAGTGCATGCTGGCAAAATTACTCGCGCGTGGAAAAATCGGTAAAAACCTATTACAAGCTCGCACGCAACGATTTCCGCAATAAATGTAAAACAATAGATCCAACTGATTGTATACTCGTGGAAACGTTAAAAATAATACTCAGCTGTATACGTGTGCCAATCTGCGCGTCGTCGTCCGAGATCGCCGCATTACCTTGCAAACAGTTTCCATTGCCGCAACACTTGTAAACCAAACTAATTCTTAAATTTGATTTCCAATTTTCGAGATTGCATTTGCCTATACCAATTTCCCAATGAAGCTGGCTTCGAAAATTATATTTAACGTAGCAAACTAAATCTAGAATATATATACATATATATATGCCATTTTTAAATACACATACGCTACCTCGTAATCGAGATAATTTTTGTATGTTAAATTTGACATGAAGCTCAATACCATCGATGAAGTTATTCAAAAAAAGCATACTCAATAATCTCTCGATACCTTATTAAGTATTGACGTTACCATTGCATAAGATTCACAATTGAAAATAATATATATATATATATATATATATATATATATATATATAGTTATTTTCATTGTTTATGACTGTTACAATTTTCAAACAGATAATAAATCATCTTCGTATAATAATTGCTTCTTTCAATTGTATACAGGTCATTTTTATTCAAACTTCTCATCTTTCCCATTCCTTCTTTCCTACAAAATGTTTCAGAGCTTTGCTCCTAAGTTAATATGTCATAGGTATTAATAATATTTACAAATGAATCTTGCCAATTGATATATCAGTACTTAACTTTAGGAATGCTTTAATTTTTCATGAATTAGATTGAAAAATTGATATTTGCATGAAACGAAGAAATGTATGTTAGCGCAACAATTGAACACAAGAACAATGAATAAATGGAAATCCGACATTATCGGCTTCCATTGTTAAAGAACGACGAGACATTAGTGAACGGAAACGGATTGTTTGGACACCATAGCAACGAGTCACTGTGGGTAAACAGTCGTAATCTGCGCCACTTCGATAACCTGTATGATTTCGTGAGTGATTGGGATTGTTACCGAAAATTGATTGGTGGTACAGCGAAACGATGGTGCGGATGAAAGAGAGGGAGGCGCTGATTCGGACCACCTACTATCTGATGCCTGGCCAAACCCTCGAAAATACCAAAGTAAGGCGACACTTTGATTTCTGTCGTGATGCGCGAAACATGGTTCCGTTCACGAGTCGATCGAAGGTTTCAGAGCGAGCACTGGCGCTAATCGTGCCGAAAGCCGCGTACGCGCGCATCCAGGAGTGCGCGTACGAGAATGACCGAGCGGCGTTGCTGGCGGAACGCGAGGCGAAGCGCCTGGCCGACCTGAAAAAAGCGTCCTACGAGATGTCCAAGGCCTGGGAGGACACCGCCGAGGTACCGCCAACTTGTCCCATTTTTCCGATCGACGTCGCGCGAGACGAGTTTAACTCGTTTCTCGCGAGCGCAGAACATCCAGCGACGAAGGAAAGAGGAGCTGCTGTCACGGAGAAAGCTGGAGGAGGCAGACAGGCTGGAATTTATGAGGCAGATGGCTGCCAAAAACGCGCAAGAACGTGCCGAGGTTGTGAAGCAGGCCAGAGAGATGCTGCTGTACAGGAAGCCTCAATGCAGACTTATAAATCGAGCATTACTCACCTCGGAGGTATGCTCGCTCGTGTGCTTCGCGTATGCGCCCGCTAACTGTGTTTGCTCGGATAGGTTTTCAGGGAACTCAACGAGCAGACCAAGTTTCAGAACTCGATCAAGCATTTGAATGAGAATATTGACAAGGAGTTTGCCGAGCGCGTCGCGCAGGATATCGATAAGTTCCATCGGGAGGAGAGAGAGAAGCGAGAGACCAGAATGAAAAAATTGAAAGATCATCAACAAGAAATACTCGAGCAGTTCGTACCGCGACTAATTTTCTCGACAACTTTCGCTTGCCAATATTAAGAAATTATTACTTGCTATTCTAGGATCGAGCAGAACAAGAAAACGACAAAGAAGCTCCAAGAGTCATCGAGGCAATCCGAAATTGAAGATCAAGCGAACATGACGAGGGAAATTAAGGAAATCGAGGAAAGGGAGTCGCGCGACGTGAGTCAAGTGGGCATAGGTGCGCCGGCTCTCGATTCATCCAAAATTATTCATGAGATTCGATGTGACTAGGCTCTGCGCAAAAAGGAACAGCTGAGCAAAATCTTCCTGGAGGCAATCGAGGAGAAGCGTGAGTACGAGCGAAAGCTTCGAGAGGAGGACGAATTCCAAAACAGAAATATAGCGATCTACAACGAGATGAAGCGCGAGATGGAGAAGATGAGCAAAGAGAAGGCGCTAATCGCTCGCCAGGAAAAAGCGCGGAAGGTCGACTCTCTCGGTAATGCGGGAGAAACTGGTCCGAAGTACGAAAGGCTTGCCTCTGGATAATCGCGATATTTCTGTTACGTGTAATAGCTCGCAAGCTCGCCGAGAGAATCGCAGGCAGGCGACGGCTGGAGAAGGACGAAGATGAAAAAACGAGGAGGATGGAGGACGCGCAAAAGGCCGAGGACGTTTCGCGGTTAGCCGAGCAGCGGCTGAAGCGAGAGAAAGTGCGGCAGGAGGCGCAGCGACAAATGAAAAGCCTGGAGGACCAGCAGCGGAAACGCAAGCTCGAACGGGATGAGCTTAAGCTCTGGGACACGCTGCAGCGGTACAAACGCGACGAATTCGATCGCGAGTGGAACGTGCAGATGCGCGAGCAAGAGCGCAATAAGCGCTTGGACTACGGCGGCGTGCTCAAGAAGCAGATGGTAACTTTTCACGTTTATTTACCTCTACCTTTACCTGCCCTTCTCGCGCCTTTCGGACGAGCAAAAACAAAAACAAAACAAAGCTTTTCCAAGGCCGAGCAATCCGGCCGCTCGCGAGATTTTCCAACGTCGGCCGGCGATCCCCGAGATTTCCTTTTCACGAGAGATCTGATTGAAGCGACAGCGCTTTCATTTCATCTACTTTGCAGGCGGAAAAGAACGCGCAGCGGAAAAAAGCCGAGATTGAAGCGGACGATTCCGTGCAAACAAAAGAGACGATCAACAAAGCCAACGAGAAGGTTTTGGCTTACGCGGAATCCATTCTCCGAGAGTCGCGCGGTGTTCGCCCGACTTTCCCGATTGAAAAGGCCATCGAGGTAATTTTCATCAGAGCCGATGCTTTCTTTCTCCCGCCCATCTGCGAAGTCTGATTCTGTCCTCCTTCCGGCAGCAATTCAAACGAGACGTCGGCTTGATACCATTCAGGAGGGCCGTCGAGTCGGAGGTAGTCCAGGAGATGCCGAGGAGACGACGACAGAAAAGAGCCGTTTGCCCGCCGAGCGCCAATGACGAGAGCGCCTTCGTCTTCGCCTAACGCTTGTACGCTGCGGCCAATAAAAACGATTTGCACTCTGCACGCGCCTTTTCATTCGTTCGCGCGACTGTCGTTCGTTTATTTGCTGGGTGCGCGTCGCAAACACGTGAGCACCGACGAGCAGGTTAAGTCCACGGCGAGAGCGTCGAGCCATGTAACGCACGCGCGCAACAGCGGCGAGCATGTCGGCGAGCAAGGACAGAGCGGCGGTCGGCCCGAAGAAGCCACTGCCACCGTGGTTCAACTTTGCGAACGCCGGGCTCTCGGGGTGACGACGCGCTCGAGGCGAGTGCCCGCTCGTCCGCGCACCTCTCAAGAGCCTCTCTCGTGAACAGATGCTGCGCCACGACTTTCGTGCACCCGATGGATGTCATGAAGAACCGCATGCAGATGAGCGAGGCGGGCACTACCATGGCCAAGACCGCCGCCGCGCTCTACAAGGAAGGCCTGCTCAAGTTCTACGCGGGCCTCGACGCTGGCTTCCTCAGGCAGGCTACCTACACCACGGCCAGGCTCGGCATTTACAATCAGCTGCGAGACTTGTACGGGTGGGTGCTGCTTTCCTCGTTTCCGCTTCGTCGACGCTTGGCTTTCGCGAAGGAAAGCCGATCGCTCGGTTCGATCGCCGACGTCCGCGAGCGTTTCAAAGCAGCACCACGGGTTGCGATGCAGAGAGATGTATCCGGGCGCGCCGCCGAATTTCACGATGTCGGCGTGCATGGCGGCCACCGCCGGATCAGCCGGAGCCTTCGTCGGCACGCCCGCGGAAGTGATTCTCGTGAGGATGACCTCGGACGGCCGACTTCCACCCGGTTAGCTAATTTCACTCTCTCTCTCTCTTTGCGATCGTCGCACCGTTAATAACGAGCATTGTCTTCCTCGCGCGACACGAGAACAAAGAAGAAATTACAGCAGCGTGCCCAATGCGTTTACCAGGATCGTCAGCGAGGAGGGCCCGACGACACTGTGGCGGGGGCAGCGTGGCCACCATGGGCAGGGCCGCCATTGTCAACATCTCGCAGCTGGCCACCTACAGCCAGGCTAAGCTTGTCATCGGCAACGCGCGTAATTCCCTTTGTCTTTCGCTCTTCTTTCGCGCCTCTTGCTGCATTCAATGACTCGAGGTTGCTTGCTCTAACGTAACGAGGATTTCAATGATTTATCTGCTTCGGGGCGGACGATAAAATGGGCGATCCAATATCTGTTCGCTTCGATCCACTGTCCTTCAAACTTCAGTGGACTGAAAAACGGCAATCCAATTGCAAGGCCCACTGTAAAGCCGTCGAATGAGCTGATCATTTTCAGTGGACATCAAGGAAGGCGTCCAGCTGCATTTTCTCGCGGCGATGGCGTCGGGTCTGATTACGTCAGTCAACTCGATGCCCTTCGACATCGCCAAAACGCGCATTCAGAACATGAAGTCGTCCGGCGGCAAGATGCCGGGGATGATCAGCGTGATAATCAACATCGCAAAGACCGAAAGCGTGCTCGCTCTGTGGAAGGGATTTATGCCATATTACTCGAGAGTCGGCCCGCATACCGTGCTCACCTTCATATTTAACGAGCAATTCGCCAAACTTTTCAGGCTCCACTTCATGGACTGACCACTCGATGTGATTCTCGTAATTGTTAACATAATACACGGTTGTTACGTAACTCAATCGACTTTTTCCTAGTTTTATTTTCTTGTGCACGCTCATCAAAACGATAAAAACGTCCCGCCATGGGATCGATAATTCAGCAAGTGCCCGCACGGTGACGCCAGCCTCCAAGCGGGAGTTCGTTCGCGTCAATCCGCGCACCACAGCGCCGCGACAGCAGTCAGCTGAGTGGAGAGTCGAATCAAGAGACCTTCAACCTTCCCCCCGCAAGATCGAGCTTCGAGTATAATCGGCACGAAGGCCTCTGCCGCGCGGAGTCAGTCGCTGGCCGGCTGCCCCTTCAACGTTATTTACCACTTGATCGTGAGCGAACGACATCCGTCAATATGAGCGAAAAAACGGTGCCAAATGCTATCAAGTTCCTCATCGGTGGTACCTCCGGGTAAGTCAGTGCATTCCTTTTTGGAAAAGTTAAAAACAGCATATCTGAATATGCAAGATGGAGTTTGCTTATTTTTTCTGTTTTTTCATTTTTTTTTTTCTTGTTTGCGTGTGAATGCGATCAACACAGTATAGCGAATGATTACTTAATCACTGGCGATAGTTTCGAGATTGATAACAAGAACGACGGTAAATATTTAATTTACTAGTAACGAAATAAGTCTGGTAACTTTTTCCGTTTACCTTGTTATCCGAGACAGCAGACTATTTATACATAGGATGGCAAGTTCCATTGAATAATTCTGTCTATTTTTGAGGTTTTCACAGACAACTAATTAAAGCTTTATCGCTCTTGAAATAGGATGGCAGCCACATGTTTTGTCCAACCACTGGACTTGATAAAGAATCGCATGCAGCTAAGTGGCACGAAAACTTCAACAGTGCAAGTAATTTCATCGATAATGAAAAATGAAGGACTCATGGCAATGTATTCTGGACTGTCTGCTGGCCTCATGCGGCAAGCAACCTATACAACAACAAGGCTAGGAATTTACACATGGCTCTTTGAATTAGCATCGTGAGTTTTATTTTCTGCACTGTCATTGAATATGAACAAAAGAAGCTGTAATTTATGAATTAATTCTTCAGGAAAGACGGCCAGCCAAATTTTTTGACAAAAGCTGGCCTTGGTATGGTAGCTGGATGTATTGGTGCATTTGTTGGAACCCCAGCAGAAGTTGCTCTCATTCGTATGACAGCTGATGGTAGATTAGCATTAGGTAAGTTACATATTTTAAATGTTGCATCTTACTGAGAAACATTAATTGATTGATTTCCTTTCACTCATTTTCTTTCTTATGTTCTGGCAATCAGCCAAGAGAGTTACTTTGTTTTGAGACCTTAGCTTACTTATTTGAATCATTCTTTAAATTTAAACCTTTTTTTAGCTGACAGACGGAATTACAAGAATGTATTTGATGCATTGTTTCGAATGACAAGAGAAGAGGGAATATTTACCTTGTGGCGAGGAGCCATCCCTACAATGGGTCGTGCCATGGTAGTTAATGCTGCTCAATTGGCTTCGTATTCACAAGCTAAACAAGCTCTCCTTGAAACAGGTACATATTTTTCTATATTTATATTGTTTTTGTTTTTCTTATAAACAACTATTATAAGTATAATTATTTTACTAGGCTATTTTGAAGAAAACATTACTCTGCACTTTGCAAGTTCCATGATTTCTGGTCTAGTCACAACTGCAGCATCCATGCCTGTTGATATTGCTAAAACTAGGTAAGCTACATATTTCAGAAGGAACCTTTGAGGTACTAAAATGATTATTATTTGTAGGATCCAAAATATGAAAACAATTAATGGAAAACCAGAGTATTCAGGTGCCATAGATGTGTTGACCAAAGTTGTGCGTAATGAAGGATTATTTGCTCTCTGGAAAGGATTCTTTCCATATTATGCCCGTTTGGGACCTCATACTGTCTTGACATTCATTTTCTTGGAACAAATGACCTCGTTCTACAAAACACGTTTTGCGTAATTATCCAAAGTCGGCCATTTCTACTCTATTTTCAAGTAATTACCAATGCAAGCCCAGTTTAACACAAATAACAAAATATATTTTTTTTATTTCTTTATCTGTACGATTTTGAGAAACGATACATTCTTTCAGCATTCTTTTACAAGTGTAAGAATCGTCGGGTACGATTCGAAAAATTTAACATTTATATTACGGTAATTTTTTAAATGACTATAAATATGCAATTTTTTGTTATCAATTATACGTACTGTATATACATGTGTTATCGATTTAGAACGTATACAGAGCTACGTCTAGTTAGAGTAATATATTTTTACAATAAAAAGTAAATTGTTATATGAAACGTTCTGCAATGTTTTAGAATGTTCAAAAACCAAAAATATACAATTACTTCAGTAATACGACCATTATTTGAACTTTTGAATAACTGTTTATTGTATTAATAAAGTACTACGATTCGTTTTGAATTCTTGCTTTTTTTTCGCAAAATTAACGTTACATGTTAAATAAATTATTAACACTAAAACCTGGTAAAACGTAAAAACAAGTGATGTCATGGTAGAGTGGGAGATTGTCAAAATTATTATCTAATTATATTCTCTAGTCTACCTAAGTATAATAAGTTAGCGTGTAAATTTTACTTTGAAATTTCATTTATGTACAATAGTTTTTGTTACTTGCATTATTAAATTGAAATAACTTTTAAATGATTTGCAATAGAAGAATAACTTTAAATGTTTATTTCTATTGTACGTTTTTTATATAACAGCGTGATGGTCCAATTATTTTAAATTAAAATGTTCAAATAAAATATTTCCTTTGATTTGATAAGAAAATTAAATCACGTTGAAATATTTTAACTTTAAGAACGTGCTTACAATAAAATTTCTGTATTTTTATGTAGCCGTTTTTTGCTACAATAATTTATTTAAGCTATGGTTTATTTCTGTAAAATGTATGATTTTTAGACAACATTGTTTTATTGCATTATATATATTAAAAAAAATTATTTTTTTACAAGTACGTGTTATAACAAAAATGCGAAAATAAGAAAAATAAGTAATTCAATTACGTTTTTATTTTAATACTTATCTTACTGTGAATTTTAATTCTTAATTTTTTCCTTAGCGTTTTCTTCCATATCTTCACATAGAAAAAAACGCAAAATTTGAAAAGGAAAAAAAAAATGAGATATCGGATAATCTCATAAAAATTGTATTCATAACTAATTCGTACACCCATGTGACTTTGTTCTTTTCTTCTCTGTGTACTTGGCAGGGTTATTTTGGTAAAAGGGCAAGAGACTATTTCGAACGAGTTAGTAGAGCTTTCAAGATGAGTTGTAAAAATGAAAAAATTATCCATATGAAATGAGCCTTTGTCGTTATTATTACTTACTTTACTTTTCAAATTATAGTCATCTATTAATTAATTAACAATATAATTACAAAATTATATAATACTGAAACCCAGCAAGCTATTATCTGTCGTACAATGACATCGGAAAAAATTCACGAAGACAGTTACAAAACAAGACGAAATATGCATAAAAATATAATTAGATGTATAGAAATACATAGAATTTGGTAGGATTTTATAATTAAATGATATGCGCAATATAATATTATTTGCTCTCTAAAAAAATATATTTTATATCTGAGCATAACATATTTAAATATTATTAGTAATGCATAAGTATGTAATATTATGAAAAAAAAAAACAAATAGTGAAGATAATTTTCAATTTCTCCTTTATGTTGTAAACTCTTTTTACAAACTAGATTTTTAAAGTAAGTTATTTATGGATAAATTTCAATGTGCTGCCCACTTACTAAACAAATTATTCTATGCGTGAATATTTAACTGAAAAATTTATTTGTAACCCTTAACATTGAATTCATCGCAGTAGAGAGTTTGAAAACTATTTCAACTTGACAGTAAATTAAGTATCATGACTTTTCATTAAAATGAACAGCATGTAAGTTACGAATTGTAACAAGCGATGATCGTCACTGAAAAAGAGAGAGAGAGAGAGAGAGAGAGAGAGAGTACAAACTATAGTATCGGCTACTCGCTACATGTTGGAAGGAGCAGGAAGAGTGGGACGAAGAGAGAGCGATGGTTGCGCGCGCAGCTGCTTTGTGTGCGAGTGCGAGTGGCGGTGGCGGCGGCAACGGCGGCGGGGAGAAAAAGAGAAAGAGAGAACTGGCGCTCTGGCGGACGATGGCCATGGCGGTGCGGCCGATTGCATCCTCAGTTCAGTCGGGCGCTGAACCCGCTCTCCGTTCTCTCGCGCCGTTGCAGCGTCGCGTTTAAGTGTACGCGATATATATGTAGAGTTTTATGTATAGTGTTCGAGTGCGAGGTATATATATAACACGCACGCATAAAGAATTTTCAACGGAAAGCTAAACGGCATCACGGGTCTGTGTAACAGTAATCGTCGAGTTGGTCCAGCGACGTCGTCATCCTGCATGGTGAGTATACATAAAACGCGAGAGAAAAGAGAGAGAGAAAGAGTGCGATCGGCAGGAGGTTTGTCGACGACACGAGCAAGGGAGGCTGCTGCCACCACCGGAAATCTGTTGCGTGCACACACTGTTGCAAATGTTTAGGCTGCTGCTGACGAAGGAGCTCTGCGCTTTGTGTGCCGTGCACTATTGCGCGTTCTATTCCAGCGTGCAACGGAATCACGAGCGATCGTTTCTTCTTAGAATTCTATAAAGAATGTGTCGGTGCGCGTGGACACATGTGTGCGCACGTAGCGCTTGTATATTTTTGAAGCCTGCGGCGCAAGGCTTTCCAAAGTGTGCGCGGGGTGCCGATTTTTCTTTCTGGCCGTTGCGTTCCATCGTTCGAAAAACCGATTGGCAACCAGTTTCGTCGCGCGCGTCGCCGCAGCAAGCAAAGGAATCATCATTGTCGGGCAGGGGGCGGCTAAGAGGGGACACCCAGCAACTGATTTCCATCGAAAAGATCGTATGGTTAATCGTATGCAATTAAACGCAGCGTCGGATCGCATTGTCGTCGCCCGGCTAATTAAGCAGTGCCAAAGAACCCGTTCTGTCTCCCTCTCTGTCGCTCACTGACTCTCTCCCTCTCGATGTCAAATTGTTTTTATTTCGTGCATGCTGTAACTTAATAGCCGTGCGCGCAGACAGCGACTAGACGTTGTGCTTTTTTTCCGTACCTGCATTGAGGGAGGCGCCGAATTATGATTGACTGGCACCGTTAGTCACACGTTCTCCTGTTCTCGACGGTTTTATCAGACGCACGTACGCACACATACTCGAGGGGACGATACGTTTGTACAGTTATCAAGGCAGCCGTAGCAGCAGCAGCAGCAGCAGCAGCTTTACCTGCTCCAACCCGTTTGTGTGTGTATGTGTGTGTGCGTGTGTGAGAGCGTCTGTTGCGCAACTTGCACTTTCGCTGGGCCGCACACATATTTTTGGCCCACCGACGATAGCTCTACTTTTTAAAGGCGGGCAGGCGGTTGAACCTAGGAGGAGGCACGTCGATACTTCCGCGTGTCCGCTGAAGCGGACTTTTTTTCGCGCGCGCACCCGTGGTGAGCTAATTGCGTATACCGATCTTTCGAGCGTTCGGACACAATGGGATTTCTCGAGTGTTTGCCGCCGCTCGAGAGTTCTTCGAGTGCGTTCGCAGGATGAGACGAAAGTCTCCACGCGAGTACGCGGTACCCTCGGTGAGTTTTTTTCTCTTTCCGAGAATTACCGGCTTGTTTCTCGGGATAAACTTGGCGATCAATTAGTTGTATTTAGCACGATCGCTGGACGAATACGGCAAAACGTACGTTGCACTTTAATAGGAGAGTATCGTTAAACTTGTAGCGCCATTTGAAAGAGCATCAATTGAAAAAGTGATTTGCAAGTGTGTTTGTGCCTTTTTTTCATCCTCGAGGCAATTATTGTCGAAAAGCAGCTCTGCTAATTTTCATTACTCCGCGTACTTTATGAATATTGACTTGGATATCCTTTGAGTGCAGGCGTATGCTTGTAACGTTGGATGCAAACCGGTTTATCCGCCGATTTTCTCGACCTCTTCTGCTCAAATAGCAAAAGCATCTCTTCGAACTACTGCATTATCAAAACTGCCGAAGCTACTTGTCGCTACTACGATATTCCT